TTGTAATTTTTTTCTCCAAGCTGCTGTTGATTGTCTTTTCACAGTACTTGTAGAGTACAAGTTTTTAGTTTTGGTCAAGTCCACTATGTAATATTTCCTTTTGTGGATCTTGCTTTGTGTCTAAGTCTAAGAACTGTTTTTGCCTATATCTGGACCCTGAAGCTTTTTTTCTGTGGTTTTTGAAAAGTTTTATAGCTTTATTCTTACATTTAAGTGGTGATATTCAGAGTTACTTTTTGTATAGAGTGTGAGAATTAGTTAGAATTTCTTTTTTTTTCTTTGTCAGAAAGTATTTGGGCATATTTGTATAATGTATTTCTGAATTCTCCATTATGTTGTATTAACTATGTGTTTGTGTCTACTCTAATAACAGTTTCAGTTACTCCAGCTAAGTTGTGAAATGAGATCTACTGACTCCCTTCCCACTTTTTCTTTTTCAAAACTGCTTTAGCTCTTAGCTTTTCCACATAAAAAGAATGTTCTCATGTCTATAAAAAATTTTACTGGAATTTGGATGGGAAGTATCTATTAGGGAAAAATTGTCATTACTTGTTGAGTCTTCCAATTTATGAAGGCTCCATTTATTTAGATTGTAGATTTTCATTTGTGTTTTGTAGTTTACAGCATGCAAGTCCTCCTGTATCTGTTTTAGTTTTTAAAATGGGTGTTTTTGTATTCTTTGGAGTGATTGGAAGAAAATGGTGCATTTTTAGCTTGTTTTTTCTACATGTTCATTTAATTGGTGTTTGTGTGCTGCTTTTATATCCTGTGACCATGCTGAATAATAACAGATTTTAGGTCTTGGAATTGTTTGTAGGTTCCTTGGGATGTGCAAATACTGGTAGTTTTAGCTTTTCTTTTTGATCTGTATGCCTTTGATGTCTTTTCCTTGCCTTATTCCACTAGTTAGAACTTTTAAGACTATGCTAAGAATGTTAGAACATCTCTGTATCATTCAAAATCTTGAGGTGAAACATCCAGTGTTTCATCTTTAAGTATGTTAGCTCCAGAATTTCTGTAGGTGCTTTCTGTTAAGTTGAGAACCTTCTCTTCTATTTCAACTTTTTCAGAGAAGTTTTTTTATCATAAGGTGGTGTTGAATTTGTCAAGTGCTTTTTTTTCATTGATATTATAATGCAGTTTCCTTTTTTTAGTTATTAATATTGGGGAAAAAGTTACTATATTGTTTCAATTGTTGATCTTGTCTTGCATCCCTGGGATAAACCTCACTGGGTCATAATGTGTAATTCTTTTTATACATTGCTAAATTCTTTATAAAGAAGTAACTTCATAAAGAAGTAACTCACCTATATTCATGAGTTACTCTTTTGTACTTTCATGTTTTGTACTGTCTTTGGTTTTATGTAAGGATAACACTGATTTCATAAAGTGAGTTAAGAAGTATTTTCTCACCTTTTACTTTCTGGAAGAAATTGTGTAAAACTCTTTATTCTTCATTAAATGTTGAGTACAGTGCTCCAGTAAAATCATCTGGACCTGGTTAATTTCTTTCAGGGAGTTTTAAATAATGAATTCAATTTTCTGAGTTGTTAGAGTGTTATTCAAATGTATTTCATGCTGGGTAAGTTTTGATAGTTTGTGTTTGTCAAGGAATTGGTCCATTTCATGTGTGTTAACCAGATATACTTGTATTAAGTGACTAGTATGCCCTTACTATCTTTTTGATGTCCTGGTTTGCAGTGATATCCTCTAATCTTGGTCTTTAATTGGAGAGTTTTATTGCATTTTCATTTGGGATTATTGATGTATTTATGCATTTATTTTTATCCCTGCTCTTTGTTCTGTACTATCATACTTTTTTATGCTTTGTCTCTGCCTATTTTTTTTTTTAAACCAGCTTTCGAGTTGATTTTTTTTTTCCTTTATGTTTTCCCCTTTTTGCTACCTGTGAAAGTATGGACTTTTTGTGATTTTTTAAAAACTGCCTAAGTTTTCTCAGAATTTTAATACATGAATATAAATAAAAAGTAACTGTTTCTATTTATGGAATAAACTGCTCATCACTATTAATTTAAATGATTGTCATAATGTTGCTCAGCATTTTTTGTCTTTAAATTCACAAATATATTGTTATTAGTAGTAATAAATAATATTTACTGTTTATAGAGAAATACTTGTTTGAGCCAACCACTTCTTTTCCCTGGTTTATCATTTTCTTTGCTCATCATCTTAATACTCATTTCTCTAGCCGACTCTAACTCGGGAGTGTGGGTTTTTACTTTTGCTGCAGTTGCGTGTCTTCTTAGGGCTTTTGTACCTGTTGTGCCCTAGTTCTGGAATGCTTTTCCTCAGAGAGCCACATGGTACTTTCTTATTCCTTCTGTCTTCAGTTAACTACTCAACTCCACTTTACTTGAGACCAGCCCTCTTTAAAATTACGTCCACTTCCTTCTTTATTTTTGTTCATGGTGTTCATCACCCCTTGCCATGCTGTGTACTTTATTCAAGTCTTCTAAGTTTTGGTCAGTTAAAATTTCTAACTCACTAGTCATTTTATTGGCATTTTATTTTAATTTGAGGAGAATGGAATGTTTTTTGGCATTTATTACTTTTAACTGGTAATATATATTACTTATCCAAGGGATTCCTTATTTCCTGTAGTATTTTTAATATAACTGTACAAGTTTCAAAATACAAGTCTTTACATTTTGTGTATTTGTACTATTTTGATTAATTTTTTTCTTATCAGTCTCTTGAAAATCTCTTTGTAGTGAAAGTTCAACAGATTTTGTTGACTTATTATTGGATCTGATTTTTGGTGGATTCTCTATTTCTAGGTAGAAAGCCTTGTCATTTAGAAATTGAAATGTTATTTACTTTTATTGTATAGAATCTTTTGAAATAATTTTATGTGACAAAGGAATCAATATAGATCTTTATGTTCTAGTGTTTACCTTTAAGTATGATTTTTAAGTATTAACATTGATGAGAACTTTTAAACATTTCATTTCTATATCTCTTTATTGAGAGGTTTTATCAGGAATGTATGGAATTTTATCAAATGCCTTTCTGGTTTTTAGATGATCATCTGACTTTTTTTGACCAATAAATCTCTTAGCATTGTTTTCATTCAAGATTCAGAAAGAGTTGGTTCCCCAGTGTCCTCTAGAGGATATCAGTGTCTTGTTTTTATAGTACTATCATAGGCAAATAATTTTTAATATATTAGAGGTGCTTGAATCTGACGTAGTTAGTGTACCTTTTGATTGTCTCATCTTGGGCTACTGTGTAGTTTTCTGTGTTCTTCGACAAGATTACAGTGATCTCAATAACTACTTTTTGGTATGACATGTTTTGGGCTCATTTGCATGTTTACCGAAATTTTGAAAAACTAGCCATTTCCTCGGGAGTTTGGGTGCTGTAGGAAACACTATTTAGGCTATAATCTCTTTTTTGCTTCATACAAATTGATCTTTTTTTGTTTAATTAAATCTAAAACATGTTGAAATTTAAGGAAAGGTTGGGAAGAGACAGACATTGTATTATGGGAACATTATTAGCAGTTATCAACTCTGATTTTTCACCAACGTCCCTTTTACACCCCCTAACTTATGTTAAAGGTACTTATTTTTCTTGAAGGATAAGTAGAATTTATTAAACTGTCTGGGTAGATGCATTTGCAAATGGAAAGGGCAGCGATAATATACCTCTTCAATACGATTACTACATATTTTTCTAGGCAGTAACTTCAGTCTTTAATTTATTAAAATGTAGTTGTGTGGGGTATTCTCTTTTAAAAAAACTTGCTTAGTATTTGTGTTTCTTGACTCATAAGACTATCTTGCCCTCTTTTTGTATTTGATTATAGGTTTTTTTTTTTGCATTTTTGTCATCTAGTTACTGGTTTTTTGTGTGTGTGTGTGTGTTTTTGCTTATTTCTTATTCTTTGGTGAATTTTGTTGTTAATTTTTTTTGCCTCTTGAGCTGACTTCTTAAAAATTTTGTTTTATAGTAAAAGAAGCATTTGAGAAGATACTCTCCCAAGCTTT